GCTTATGTCAGCTGTTGGATATAGGTAAATGGGCTAAATGTATGCCTGGCCTGGACCAGTCTGACCTCTGTAGTRTACTCAAAGCAGTTTGCTTATGAATCATGACCTACTCACAGTCTGCAAAAATGAAACCAAATACTTTCAGGACTTTCCCCTCTTTAAATACAATCAACTGGTGCCAACCTTAGTCATTCTCATTACTGTACTCTCTGCTTTGCTAACTTCACAGTCTGTAGTATTTCAAAGATTTTTATAATGTATGTTAATGAAATGCCTCTGCCTCTCCTCTTTTTTCTCACTTCTTGCCCTTAGTTAAATCAAACTTTAGTCAYCTTTATCTCTCGAGAAACTTGTTGCTACTACTGTAATTATGAGTAGTGACTTTTCTTGTTCCTTATACAGGCCTTCAGATTCTATTTATTATGGAGAGGAAATCTTTGAGCCTGACAAAGAAAAGAGCAAGAAAAGTAATAGAAAATCCATGGGATAGTGTTGTTTGCATCACACTAATTTGGGAGGAAGAGGAATTTCATTCTGATCCTTCTTATGTGAATAGATGAAATTCASAGATCTGTGATACCAAGTCTGTAAGTCATATTCCAAAATGCAGCAAGCCAGGATCATCAACTTAGGAAATTCTCAGAAAAAAACTTTCCTTCTCTTCCTTTAGGCTTGGGAAGTTGTCCTGACAGTAGATTTATACTTCTAAGACACTTTGCARGGACAGGGAAGTTTAATGGGAAATTTCTAGTTTTAGCAGAGATTGAGATGGTCAGTTCTTATGTTCAGTTCCGTGTTAAGCCAGAAGTCCATCCGGTTTGCAGTAAATAGGTTTGAGGAGTAGAACAGGGAAGGATCTAGAGCTCTACCTAGCACCCTTTCACCCTTTCCCTCTTGCCACTGGTAAATCTGCACCCGAACCTTTTCCGTGTTAAGCCGGAAGTCCATCCGTTTTGCTGTAGATAGGTTTRAGGAGTAGAACAGGGAAGGATCTAGAGCTCTTCCTAGCATCCTTTCGCCTTTTCCCTCTTGCCACTGGTAAACCTGCACCTTTAATACACCTGAACAGACACTGCATTAAAGAAAAAGCCTATCCTCTTTGAGTTCTTACTTCTAAAGTCTCAGGTATTGAGAAAATGAAGGCAAACCTCTGTGCCAGGGCAAACCTCTGTGTATGTACACCAGCAGGCAGAGTAGGGACCCATTCTGGTTTGAACATATTACAGTCTAAATGGTGTAAGAGGAAGGAGGGAATTCACATTTTCTGTTACTTGTGTGGCCTCCTGGAATGATTACTCTGTGTTTAATGAGTTCTCTATGTATGCTTTCTTTAACTTAAACATTTCTTTTTAACGAGACCACTTAAAATTAATTAATRAAGTAGGGCAGCTAGTATTAAGGTTAAATTTTCTGTAGTATTTTAAAATAACACAATAAAAATACTGTGCCACACATTTTTTATGCCGAAGTTTTAGATAAAGTCAAACCACTGAAGGGGGGAAAGTCACTGGCAGAGCATTTGGAATTTTAACCTGCAGAATGTGGAAACTTCTTCTAATAGCTTTTCTTTTTCTCTTTTGATGTACTCATCTACTTTATATTAATGACTAGTATGTTCAAAGTTGAAAAATGCACTGGGAGATGAAAAAGCAGATAATTTCATTTTTTCTCATTAGGTCTATGAATGAAATTTTTAAGAGGATGAGATGTGCTAGTTGTAAAGTTTTGAAGGTCATGCTAACCAGAAACAATCAGTTAAGTTCACCAACTAGCAGTGATTCATCCTTTTTGAATAAATCAGTTTTCAGTGAGGTATATTCTGGTTTTTTTTTTTTTTTTTTTATGTACATTTATAACTATTTACTTGAACTGAGAAAAAAATGAAAGGCTCTTTTGCTACATTTTAATTGAATTCCATTTTCCATCTAGAGACACGTTTTTATAAACTTTGATTGGAAGACAAAGTCATGGTAAAGAGAAGCCATTAAATTTTCTATCATAAAATGTAAAAATTAAGAATAAGAAGTTTGTTATATAGATGATTAAATAAAAATTGTACAGGCATGAAATCCATCTAGATAGCAAAAATAATCATGTTTTATAAAGAGGATATATTTAATTGAATAAGGGTCTTTAAAATGAAAGAAAAAAAAAAAAGGAAATGTAAAACTGGGCCAAAATAGATTGTGTAAGACAAGGTTTTTCTCTTTTCTGCTTTAAAAGGTGGCTAGAATTGATAATTGAACTCAGAGACTCAAACCAATTCACCCAGTCTGTTGATAACATGCACTTGTAGTTCTGGGTCCTAAACAAACACAATATGGGCCTTGCAAGTGCTTTAGAAAGCCCTGGTTAATAATCAGTTGTCCAGGAGTCCCCTCTGACCCGCGCGGGCCCTCCTTCCCTTGGAACAAAACCCCGGCAKCTGCTGCCTGTTGGAGCCATCGTGGTGCAGAAGCTGAGCCCTTGTTACTGCTGCCTCCCTTGGCTCTCTGTCTGCGTGCAGTCAGGGAAACCTGCATCTGCAACTTGGGTTCGGAGCAGATTAAAAGAAAGCTGTGCAGCTGAGATCTGCCTCACAATAAAGTAGAAGGACCTAGGTTAGATGACCCTCACTGTGAAGTGTGTTGCCTTGACAAATAGTAATTGCTTGACAATTGCTCTAGGCTTGGAAAACATATGTTATCATGTTCATTCTGTATCCATAGTAGAGATTGTTTTCATTACACATACTGGATATTTCCAACTTCATTGAACCTATTGATGTATGAACACACATAGAARTTCAAACTAGAGGTCTGAAACTTTAAAGTCTTTCCTTTGTTCAAGTTACTCCTTTTGGCTAGCAGATATCTATCTCTAACTCAAGAATCAGTCTATGTCCAGCATCTACAGTGGTCTTGGAATGCTTCTTTTTTTTTTTTTTAATGTTTTTGAATGCTGTCTGTTAGAGCTGGAGGAGTTTCAATGAAAGAATATCTCAGTTTTGTTCTTGGAGAATGCTATTGTCATAATTATTTCCATGTATAGGTTTCAGCACTAAGGCAGTTGGACACATAAAAGAGCAGTCCACACTCACAGCTCAGTATTCAAGGTATATACAGAAGYTCAGCATTAATTACATATTTTAGACTCTGTAAGAAGAAGCTGATTTTTTTGGTCTGTACTGTAACAGAACTTCCTTATGAACTACTGTCTACAATAACTGCTTCCTCCCCTTCCTGCAGAAGTTTTAGTGATAATATAAACATGAGCCTCTTCCAGTTGAAAACAATCTTATTTTATTTGAAATAGAGTATTCCTTTTTCTGAAAAGTTGCTGAGTCTCTCCCTGAAATAATCTCTTATATTTTTAAGTTTTTCCTTGTTCCTTAACACATCTGCTTAAGTATTGAGAAACTTCTCAGTACAAGAAAGGCTGTAGAGAAACACACAGGATTATAGGAAGTTTTTGTGGGGTATAGTTTGATAAAATAAAAGAAAAGAAGGGCAGGAAGCATGCAATGTATAGCGCTCATTGGGGCTCAAGTGGTTAGGGAGGTGTATTAAAGGAAAGGTGGCAGGAGTCTGTCAGGGGTCAGTACATGGTCACTCATGACTTCAGGGGCATAGAGACATAGAATCCTTGTGACATGATTTGCAAGAGAATGTGTGGGCTTTGATTCACTCATTTATACAGCATCAGAAGGTAAATAGGAGACTCCTTTCCTATTGATGAAGACTTCAGTCATCCAGATCAGCATCTTCCATTAAACTTCTTATCTTTCCTTCCATTTTAATGTACCTCTTGAGCATTTCCAGCAGGCTCTCCCTCTAGAATGATAACTCTTATGCATGAGAAAAGGACTGTTTTGCTATTAYTTGTAAATTTGCTGCCGTATGACACAACCTGTTGTTCTTTTCATTCTTGCATTCAAATGAAATATCTCCCAGTCTATATGTTGAAATTGTGTATTATTAACAACTACAATTGTAGTACCTAGATATAGTATACAGCTTTTTATCCACAGACCTCAGGCTTCTTTTAAGCCTGGAATGAGATTTTGTTCCTTTAAAACTCTCAGAGCTCAGGTAATAATGGCTGAGGCAAGATTAAACAGGATTTATTCCTTCTCACTGTTAGGCCACTTGACAGATTGATACAGCTCTTCTAGCCTCTGAGTGCCACTGGCTCAGCCCAGCATTTATGCAGTGCTTTGTGCAGACTCCTTCTCCCAAGGCGAAACTTGACCTTTTCCAACAGGAGGCAGCTTATGACTTCCTTCCACAGTTCCTGCAGGAGGATCCTGGGTGAGCTATGAGGCTTCTAGTGCCCTTTGCCAGTCAGGTCTTCATATCTAATGTGAACAGAGTGGAAGGCTGATGAGAATTTCAATCACCATAGTGTTGGGTTTCTTTTTTAATGTGGAGATGTGGTATAGCATGAGAACTCCTCTTAAGAGATATCTTCATAGTTGGATTAGCCTTTTGACATTCATTAGGCATTGCTAACTAGGCCCCTGGCCTTGGGAGCTGTGAGTTTTGTATTTTGAAAAAGACTAATGTACTAAAGTAAACAAAATGTTGCTAACCACTTATTTCAGATCTTAGGTTATTTTAGGTCTTTATAACCCTGGTATGTGTAGTATTGGCACATCCTGTAAGTATTATTTTGTCTCTTAGATTCAGTGAGATGTAGGACAGTTTTAATTGTCCTTATCTTAGAATGGAAAAGCCATGGGTGAAATTCTGAGTCAAGGACAGAATTATAGCCATTGTTTAAACTCCCATTCCAAACTTTGTCCTAAACACCATCCATCTYCCACCTTTATATAGATTTAACATCAGCAGTATGATTCAACTTAGAGTGTCTTCAGGARCTGTAACCAGCTATCTGTGCTCAGATGGTAGGATGAAAGAGAAAGCAATTACATTCTTTAATGTGTTAATCAATCATGTTTATTTAAGCATATTCAGGAAATTATGGTGAATTGCTTAACTTCTTTTTAAATTTATTTACAGGTCTGCTTTACTTGTAGTGCTGAGCTATTGTGATAGTTTGATTTTTTATGATTTGCATCAAGTGTGAAGCTTTCAAAGCCATGTGTCAAAGGTAAGTAATTTCAGTAATACTGTTATTTGTATACATCCTTAAAAATATTATATGTTTATGGGAGAAGTTTTCACCACTTTCTTGAAGATTCAGCTCTGGTTAGAAGGCACAGTCCTGACTAAAGGATGTTTTGAAGCAGTAGGAGCTCCTGTAGGGAGATCTGAGAGAGATTTTTCTCCCAGTTCTTGCCAATAGGCTGAGGAAGTGTGCGTACTGCACTTGCTTTTAAAATAGTGCAACGKGATCCTTTCTTTACAGCTCAAAGGAGGGGGGCGGGGATCGAAGGTGGAAGAATAGTAGCCCAGATCCTCCTTCTCATTTTGGGTCTGTTTTTTTTCTGTTGAGCAAAGAGAAAATTAATTGTGCATGACTATTATGAGAAAGGACCCTTTGCTCTCACTCTTCACATTTCTTGTGACATAGGCCAGGTTTAATCTAGTCCGTGTTAGGAGAAACTAAGTACACTTTGCAGTGTCATAATGAGATTCCCCCTCATTTTCATCTTCCCTCAATGGTAGGTAAATCATTGCATTTAAGGGATAAGAATCTGTAGGAGTTATGAAATCAAAGTGATTGTACTAATGTGGAACTCCTTCTAGTTAATCTGCAGTGTTTATTGCTCTCTGTAGTGTCATAAAACTAAGATGAAATACACTTCAAATCAAAARAGACCATATATTTTTTCCCTCGCTAACTAATAAAAGTAAAATTGACAAACTAAGGTGAATTACTAAACAGATCTTTAAAAACAAGGATGGACAATGTGTAAGTTGGGAAATTGTTTTCTAGAGAGTTTCACTTGTGTGTAGGGTTTTAAAAGTTATCCAGATACAGGAGCTGATATATGTAACTTAGAAAGACTACCAAAAATAATATTTAGTCAGTAGTTGTGATAGCTAATCAGYACACTGTCATACAGCAGAATCTTTGAAATTTATTGTTTTATAAGAAAGGATGTTCATGCAAATACCACATTTAGCCAGAAATGATGATAATAAGAATCCTTAAAAAGTACCTACAAAAAAAATAGTCCATGCTAAGAACACTTTTTTAGATTGTTTGTAAGTGTATATTGTGTACACATTTATTATGTACATATTTTGAAGTGATGCCCTAACTAGTTAATACCTATGTTGTATTCAAAATCTTAATTTTACATGTAGAAAATACTAATGAAAACCACTATAGTACTTTAAAATATTCATAAGAATATATTACATTTTATGAAACATTGATGCCAGACTTGAAAACTGTTCTATTAGACATCCATCACTATGGCTAAAAGGTGAGACACAGACTCTAAAAGTGAGTTCAAGAGAAGGAACTGAGACAAACAATACTGCTTGTTTCCAGATACTAGAAATTAAACCGGCATATGGGTTTATCCAAGAATGTTCTCACTCTTCAGTTAGAAGAATCATGCCATCACTGACTAGCTGCTGGAAGGAAGAGAGAGTTTTCCTTTCTTAACCACTTTCCATAAAACACCAGTTACTATAAAAGGATAACTGGAGCTGTTCTGCTTTCTTCCTGCTCCTCAGGCTCCATTTCTTAAAACTTTCTTCCCCCCTGTAAATAACTAATGTACTTTCCTGCTGTTAATAGTATTGTCATATGGCTGCAACAACGTAAAATGGACATTTTGGGTAACATAAGAGCAGGGTAGAGGCTTCTAAATAGCAGTAACTGGACTTGCAGTCTTGTTTGTTATGCATGGCTGCTGCTTGTTAAAGTGCTACTRTGCAAAAGCTGAAACACTGGAACTGCCTGCTTGCAGAACCAGGAAGACTATGCTGTCTGAATCAGTTAGATTTCCAAATGATAGTTACTACACCCTTTACAAATAAAAAAATAGAAATGTGTCTAGAGTTTTAAATGAAAGATGTAGAAATCCATAGTGTAGGCCTTTATGGTGATCAGGGAAAACTGTTATCATTAGGGATTAAGGGCTGATTTTTTTTTAAAAAAAACAAAAAACAACTGGGATCTTATGTACAGAATCAGGCTACAAAAAAATTTTAAATTTATCAGACACCAAATGGTACAGACAGACTGGCCACATATACAGTAATATAGCAGGAGTTAAGTTATAGTCTTTTTCAAGTGTGAAAAAAGGAAAGGAATGGTTATTCAGATAATCATATGCTAAATTACTCATTTATGTACTTCAAGTATCAAAAGAAAAGCAGAGTTAGATAAATTAATAATAAACAAGCCTTAATTTTACAAACCAAAAAAATTATCTTATATTGCAGACTTAAAAAGCCTTCATACTGTAACATAAAACTAAACGATAACTACATACTGTGTATTTTAAAATACAGGTTTCAACCCCAGTTAATACAAATTCACTTTTCTTTGAAGTAACTCAACTCTAATCTCGCATGGGTTTTGATAGTTAAACCGGAAAGGGCTCTCAGTATGAGGAAGTGTGTATGTGTGTGTGCATATATACACACACACACACACACACACACACACACACACACCTTGTTCATTAATTGATTCATTTAAGATATACATATGTAAAACAGAGAAAGTATGTTGGTATCTAATACCTTTATGTATGGGATATTGAATTGACATTTGTTTATCATCTCTGGGAGTGTGACAGATCTGTGGAACAGCTAATACCAATCCAAGGCCAGAATTTAAGGGCAAAGTGGGTTTGAGGTAACAGAACTTAGCTCATGGTAATGGGAGCTGGCTCCAGTTTTTGTGCTTCAGTCACTAAACCATGTCCCTACCCAAGCCGCCTTTCCAATCCACCTAATACATCTAGCCACTTTTTGTTTTCAGAGAACAGGCAGTGTTTGGGCTTGCTTTATATTCTTGCCACTTCTCTCTGTGACAAGCTGCAGAGCCACGGAAGCATCCTGGTAGCAGCACTCGAGCTCCAAGTGTCGCAGAAGCAGGGAGCTGCAGAGGAGCCAGTCACAGCTCTCGGTCACTGGCCAACCCATTGCTTGTAGAAGTTAGCATGCTTAAGTTGACATTGATCCCTCAAGGGACTGGCTACCAGCTAAACAAAACTGGAACACAGGGTTAACCAAGCATAGATTCTCTGTGACCCTGTGTCAGGACCTGTCAACCTGTTGTAAAAGCCAGCTATGTTACCTCCTTGCCCTCTGAGACTCCCAGTGAATCCCCAAGTAAATGAAGAGGGGCGTTATTTACATCTCTTTCATGTCTGCAGCCCAGTCTTTTTTTTTTTTTTTTTTTTTTTTTTTTTTTTTTTTTTTTTTTTTTTTTTTTTTTTTTTTTTTTTAATAAAACAAAAGCAATTCAAAACCCAAGAGATTATGGAGTATTTTAAAAAGGAATATTTGTTTCCTTGTGAAAACTTACTACAACAAAGAATAATTTCCTCTATTAATTATAGATAATGGAAAATGTGGAAGTGTCTCTGGTTAAAGAAGGGAGCATACTGTCATTGATGGTATAAAGACTGTTGTATATAGCTGGGAAAGGCAGATGGGTTGGAATGATACTGGTAGTTTAGAATATTTAGAAGCCAGGAGTTCTATAAAGTCTATGAAATATGCTGAGGGTAGAAACGCTCATTTGCTTTTGCGGAGGAAATAGAGCAAAGATACATCACAGCAGAGAAAGCTAGCAGGACAAAGGAGATACTATTGACTCATTCCAGACTGCCGACTTAGCAGCTCAACTTTGTTTCCTTTTAACTTTTGTAACAGTAGGAGCTCAAAGCTTCTCAGTCTACTTTCTGCACAAATAGAAGCACCCAGACTTCAAAAAGTAATATGCTTTGAAGAAACCCAAACCATTAACACATTAAAAGCTGTGTGTACTATTAAACAAGGCTTCAATGGTTACTTGAATTTTGCAGCAAGTAAATGCTGGTGTTTTGGTAATAATTTTTACCCTGCTGCATTCTGGCAGACAATTCTTGACAAACACCAGATTGCAAAGCACTTTTCTGTTGGTTTTAGTGTGATACAGTTTTATTGACTTTGCAGTACTGCTTCAATATTTTCACAGACTGAGTAAACCCCACAGACACTTTTTCCCAATGCAGTAGCATATCGCAACAAGTTTCTAACCCTGTAACATTACACTTCTGACACTGGGGAAAGCCTGCGATGTGTGAAATCTAGGTTTTTGTCCTCGGTACTTAAATCTATATCCCTTTAAAAAAAAACATAATGTTTTTATTGTCCACTCTGGACAATGGAGTGTCCAGGGCCATCGATATGACAGCTTCTACGCTGACGGCGTCCCTGTGCCAAAGTCCCATCAGGACCGTGTTCCCCGGCAAGAGACCGGTCTCCTCGTCCCCGCTCGTTCCCGGAGGGAGCGGCGTAACGTCACAGACACCCCACGCTTACGAACATACCTCGCCTCTCACGGGCAATCCCTTCTCGAGCGTACAGTGTGCGCTTAAAACGTCATAAAACATCATAAAACGTCATAAAACGTCATAAACTCAAACTGACCGGCATCTCCTGAGCCATGCTGGTACTGGAGCGTGTAAGTTGAATTTAACTTTAGAAGCATTTAGTCCTGGGTTCGGCAGAGCCCTGCAGTCCCCGCCCCCGCGTCCCGCGGAGCCGCTCACGGCGCCGGTCCCGAGGGGCGCGGGGGGGCCGGGCGGGCGGGGCCCCCGTGCTCTGCCGTGGCGTCGGGGGCCGCGCCCCCCCCCCGTTGGCGCGGCGGGCTGTCACTCAGACGACGTCACAATACGCCTGTGTGAGCGCTGTAAACACTCGGGCGGGCATGTGTGTGTGAGTGACGCGGGGGCGCGCCTCCCCACCCCTAGCTCCCCCCCACCGCCTCCAGGGTGGCACCGAGCCGGCCGGGGAGGGGGGTGTGAGGCGCGCCCCCAGTTGTTTCCCTGCGGGCATGGTAGCGGTACGAAAGGTAGCATCACTGGAGCAGGGGATGATGTAATTCTCCCTCCGGCCAGTGACTGCCTGCGCTTGCCCCGATACGACTTGCAAACCGGAGGGGGTGGTTGTTTTACGCGTGATCGTATCAGCATCTCCTGACGGCTCACCCCCCACCCCCCGCTTTAAACCCCGCTCCGCTCATCCCTCCCCTCCCCGGCAACGGAGGAGGGATGGGGCTGGGGGAAGGAGGGGAGCCCCGCGCCGTGTGTGCAGGGTAAACACGCCAGCGAGCGCCGCGCCGAGCGGTAAACAAGTCTGAGGTGCCCTCCGCCGCACGGCAACTTGCTGCAGGCGGGGTGTCCCCCCCCGCACACACACGCGCACGCACGCACACTCACTTCCCCCTAACAAAAGCCCGTTTAATATCAGCGTCAGCTTTTGTTCGGCGGGCGGCAGCAGCCGTTCCCTCTCCCGATCACCTTATTTCACCGGTCGGCCCCCCGGCCAAATCCACGGGTCCCCCACGCCCGTCCCCGCTGCGCATCCCCTCTCGCTCCGTGGCGCTGTCCCCTCGCCGCCTCCAAACCTCCCCCTGCTTTCCCGGAGCTCCCGGTCCCTGCTGCCCGCTCTCTGGGGCAGCAGGCAGGTAGGCGAGCAGGCAGCCCCCCCAATCCCCCGAAAAGGCAGTAGCTAAATGGCACTTACTGTCAGAAGAGAGGGCGAGGGGGGGAGCTCTTCCTTCGGCGCAAAAGCAAAATAGCCACTCGCAGGACGTTGCCAGCATAGGAGGCGGCAAAGGAAAATAAAAAAGATCTTCCAGTAGCGGGGGGAGGGGGGGGGGGGGGGGGGGGGGGGGGGGGGGGGGGGAGCACATACAAGCCCGGCGAGTACAAACGACTTCAGCGTTCTCCCCCACCCGCCACCGCTGCAGCCGCCGCGACCACGGGGAGAACCGGGCGGTGCAGCGGCGGCGGCAGCGGGGAGAACCGCGCCGCTTCCCCGCCCGGCTGCCGCCGCACAGCACCGCCCCGCGGGCGGCGAGGCGAGGCGCGCCGAGCCGAGCGCCGGGGCCACGGGGAGGGGGGACCCGCCGCTCGGTTGGGCGCTGATCGGCTCGCCCGTACCCTCCATCTCGCGGCAGAACCTGTTGCGAGCCCCTCGGCTGGGAGCTCCGAGGGCAGGTGCACACACCACCCGGCTCCGTTTTCTTTACGAGGTAGCGCCGAAGGGTTAATTTGGGGAGTCGAGGGAAAACATTTTAAAACCTGGGGGTCGTGAAACTTAAGTATTTCTGCGCCACCGGAGAAGGGGGTGGGAGGGGGTGGGGTGGGCAGGAAGAGAAGGGGAATCGTCGCTTTTCTGGCCGAAGGCCAATGTTTCTAAACTGAATGTAAACAAAGAAAACTGCAAACACCAGAGGAGGGCCTTCCACTGCCGCCGAGGCTGGGGGGACGTGTTCCCAAAGGGGTGCCGAGCTTTGCCCACCTCTCGTTTCCCTTCCGGTCCTGAACGCCCACGGTCACCCCGGCCACCGCCCTYGGGTGCCGCGGGACGAGGGGGGAACTTTTTGCCGGCGGGAACTGCGCAGGGTAGCAAGTCGGGGAAACAAAAAAGAAAAAAAAGTGTGGTTTTGTTTTGTTTGTTTCCCTTCAACTTACTTTTTTGGGGGGAGGGGTGAGGTTTTTGTTGGTTTTTTTTTTGTTTTGTTTTTTTGGGGTTTGGGTTTTTTTAGGGTTTTTTTTGAGAGCGAGGGCTCGTCCCTCCCGCCCCGGGAGGCAGAGCCGCCGTGCCCCGTGCGGGCGGAGGCCGGGACAGGGCTTGCCCGAACCTGCCGAGCGCTCCCGGCTTCGGCCTCGGGGCTCCGTGGAGCTGCTGGTGCTGCTACTTGTAACATGCTGGGGGAAACATCCACGGGACTCCTGCTCGGCTGGCAAATCTTTCTATGTTTAGATGGGAAAATCCTCCCTTGCTATCACACAGGCCGGTGCAGTGTCACTGCGGGGTTAGAGAGGAGCTGGACGGAAGGAGGAAGGCGGGAGACGTGTGTGACCGTGACACCGCTTGTCTGATCGCCCTAAAAATACCCTTGATTGGACCCGCGGGTGATTCRTGCGCCCAGCAGGATCACAGCCGTCGAACCGAGCGACGTTTGGGGTTTTTTTCCCCCGCTCCTTGTTTTCGTGAGTTCTTTGGGCGGATGAGTCTCCTCTTAGATATGCTTCGGACAACAGATGCTTTCGCGATGATGATTTTCTGGGGGAGAATGCTATTCCCTCGAAACTCTCCCCCTCCTGCCCCACCCCAGCCCACGCACGGCCCCTGCTTGCCGGGGAGCTCCCTGCGGAGCGGGGAGCGCAGGTAACGCCTGAGGAAAACTACGAGCGAATAAAACAAATTCCGTTAGTGTGGTTCCTTTCTTGTRGCGTCTCCTGATCTCGGGCTTTCCTCTCGTCTGCAACTTCGCCGGCAGATCTCCGTCCCACATCGCTGCTCTTGCGATAGAACACGACACTTGCTCATCTTCCGTGGGCTCTCCGTGGGGACTGCGGCTACTTTTTGCCCGTTCTGCTGTGGTTGAGGGGGGAAAAAAGAGAGAAGAAAATAATAAAAGGGGGAAAAAGAAAACGACGAAAATTACCTAGTTCGAAGACGGATGGTGCTGAGTGTCGGATTGATTTTTTGCGTACAAAACCCATGGCGCAAGTGAGCTCTTTTAACAGCCTTTTAGCTGATGGTGTAAAAAGAGTGGTGGTGGAAAGTAGTAAATAGTGGAAATAAAGGATAGCTCCAAACTGTGAACCATGAATAAGCTTTCCTGGAAAGAACTAAAGTGAGTAGAGAGTAGGTAGGCAATTCTCTCGCTTCTGTTCTGAAAAAGGAGTGCGACGCGTTGGCACTTTTTCTTTTTTTTTTTTTTTTTTTTTTTTTTTTTTTTTTAACACTCAGAGAGAAAAGAGTAAAGAAAAAAGAAACAGGGTTGTGGTGGAAACGGGATGATAAAAGCGAGATGTGAAAGGCATGAGTACCGAGGCGTGTATGCTCTCCCCGGGCACTGCCCCGCCGCAGCACGGTGGCTCGGAGCCGCCGGCTGAGCTTCAGCAGAAGTTACAGCGTTCAGAAATGTTGCAACAGCACTTTGGAAGTCTCTAAAGAAAAGCTGAATTATTGGAACTTAGGTAACTTAAGGAAACTCGTTATGACCTACATTGCTGTTCTGAGTCAGCAGCTGCAGCCCCAGCCCCGGCGGGTCCCGCCGCCGCCGCGCACCCCGCACCCTTTGGGCGGAGCCGCCCCCCCCCCCGCCGCCGCCCGGGCTCGCTGCTTCCCGGGTTTACAAACAAACTCGCCTGGATCGAGACGGTTTCACTTCTGCTGTAAGGAATGCCTGCCTCCGCGGCTGGGGTTTTTTTTTTTTTTTTTTTTTTCCGCGTCCCAGGTTTGCGGACTGAGCAGCTTGCCTGCCTGAGTGCTGGTTTACCGGTTGGTTTGTGAGGAGGAGAGAGCTTAAGCGGAGGACAAGGTCTTTTCCCCAAGTTTTTAAGAGCTGTGCTTCATTTTCCGAAGGGATACTGATTGTTTTCTGCACCGATAAATAGATGCCTTATAGGGGAAAGTTACTTACTACATGTTGCGTACTGGTTTGCTCTTACGATAGAGAAGGAAACCCTGAAGTCCCAATCAAAAACTTATTAAACAACTTTCCATATTTCTTCTGTAATGTAAAGTAAAAGTCGCAACGATTAAGCTCCAAATGTCCACATTGTCAAGATTCATAGCTGAATTCAGTTTGCGGCGAGCTCGGACAGTTACACCGAATGTTTGTTAAACGCGCTGTCAGCGCCAGGGGAAGARCACAAAATGTTTTAACATCTTGATTAAAGTAATCTGTGCGCGAAGGTGCCGCATCACCCCCGCCAGGCGAGGGACTGGGAAAATTATCCAGTCAGCGTTCTTTGATATTCAAAATGACGAAAGAGTCGAGATGAAATGACCTCAGAAAACTCCGCCTTTGGAAAGCCGCGCTTGCCGCCTCTCCCTTGCCCCCCGCCGTTCCCCTCAATTCTCACTTTTTGTTTATCGACACGTCGTTGCCACCAGCAGGAGAACTGAAACGACAAAACTTAGCTCCAAACGCCTTGGCTTTCCGGTCAGGCGTTTACCGGGTTTGCACACCGCTTCGAGCGCTGCTTTTGGTATTATTGTCATTATTACTGTAATATTTCTACAAACTTTTAGGGTTTTATTGGTCGAGTACGGCAACTCCCTGCATTTAAGAATGGGACAGAAAAATCTCATTTCCTTTCCTTTCCTTTGTTTTTTTTTTTTTGTTTTTGTTTTTTTTTTTAAGAAAATCTCACAACAGTGATAGAGAGTTGATTCAACGCTCTGTACTAACAACTTTTAGCAGCTGTGAGTTTCTTGCAGCTGTGATAGTTCAATGTCCCCTCTTAAGAAACCAGCGAAATTTGGAGACAGAGACTGAAAGCAGCTCCCCGTGCCCCTAAGCAGGGAGTGGGGCAGAAAAATGCCGCTTGTGATTTTGGGTATCTGGGAAGACTTGTTTCTCGGTGTGGTGGTGGCACCTGCCCGAGCCCCGTTTCCCAACAGATGAGTTTGTAGCTGGACACGAGGGTGCGTCCCTGCTGCCTCACCGTGGGGATGAACCCCTGTCGCTCAACCACCTCCGGCTCGGCGGGTGCTGCTAACTACTACCAAATAAAGACAACGCCTTCGCCTGCCTGATTTTTAATTTTTCACGGAACCCCTAAAGTTCCCCCGTGGTGTCATGGAAAGAGAGAGCTCTTCTTGCTCACAAGCCCMAAATGTCAAAGGCAGAGGAGAGAAGACGTTTGCACTTAGGGAGGAAAAAGTGAAAAAAWAAAMAACAAACCCAAACCAAAAAACCAAAAATCCAAGCACAACAATAAAAGCCCCAGATACAGCTGGGGAGCAGAGGGGTGCGAGGGAAGAGGGAGTGAGAAGGGCTTTAGCTGTGCCGTGCTGACACGGTGCGTCTGCACTTCCAGCGAAGCGGGAGCCACTCCGGCATCCCTCTCTCTTCCTCGGCGGTTTTCTTGGGAATTCTGCGGGAACACTGCATTTTCTAGCGGGCTGTAGTCCCCGGGCTCTGCCAGGCAGCCCCAGGACACGGTGACCTCCCTTTGCCCCTCGCTCAAACGCCTCCAGAGGGCTTGGRCAGCCCCGCAGCGGGACGAGGGCGGGCGGCGGAGCCCCCTCCGCTTCCCCAAATCGCTCTCCGTACGGTCAAGCCCACAGAATGAGCTGGAAAGGCGAGATTTTGGGAAACCTGTGGAGACAATGGACGTGAGCTGCGTGTCAAAGCGAAGCCGAAGGATCAGTAAGCAGCAGTTAACACCGGTCACTTCTACCGAAATATTTGGGGCGCTCTCTTTTTTTCCGATCTGGATTTTTAAATTTTTTTTCGGGGGGGGGGGGGGGGGGGGGGGGGGGGGGGGGGGGGGGGGGGGGCGGTGGTGTGGGGGTGTGGGGGGGTGTGTGTCAAGAGCCGCGTAATTTCGTAATTAGTTTTCAGACACCGTTGTCGATATCCAGCTTGTGTCACCAGGTTGTTAAAGACTGGGCGATTGTTGTTCGTACAAACTGGATCTCCGCGAGGTTTAATTTAACCCCGTGCACATTATTATGTTTCTTTTACCGAAAAAAAAGTACCTTTCTGGAGAGCCTGCCGTCAACTCGGTACTGCTCTCTATTGCGGGACTGAAAAGATACGATGCAATGTATGCAAAGTGATTGTAGCCTTTCAGGATATTACTGAGGTTAAATCAAAGTCCCGGGACGGTAAGAGCGAAAACTTGGTAGCCGTCCAAGAACAAAATCGTTTTTTTCAATTGAGTCGAGGTTTGGTTTTTGTTATTTTTTCTAATTCTTTTTCT